GAAACGATCCTTCGATGCCAATTTTCCTGAGATTCTTAATCATAAAGGAATGTTGTATTTTGTCAAATGCTTTTTCCGCATCAATTGAGATAATAATGTGTTATCTTTCTGTTAATATGGCGTATTATATTTATGTAATATGATGTATTACATTTATGTTGAACCACCCTTGTATCCCTGGAATAAATCCTACCTGGTTGTGATGAATAACCTTTTTTTATATGCTGTTGAATATGGTTAGCAAGTAAGTATCTAGTTGAGAATTTTTGTATCTATATTCATAAGAGATATAGGTCTGTAGTTTTCCTTTTTGGTCATATCCTTATCCATTTTGGGAATGAGGGTAATAGAGGCTTCATAGACTTTATTTGGAAGAGTTCCTTCCTTTTGGATCTATAGAAACAGTGTGAGTAGAATGGGGATTATCTCTTCTTTAAAAGTTTTGTAAAATTCAACAATGTAGCCATTGGGCCCTGGACTTTTCTTTGTTGGGAGGTTATTTATTACTGATTCAATCTCATTGTTTGTTATAGGTCTATGCAGGCTTTCTATGTCCTCCTGTGTCAATCTTGGTAGATTATATGTGTTCAAGAATTTGTCCATCTAATCCAAGTTTTCTTCTTTGTTGGAATATAGTAGCTCATAGTATCCTCTAATGATGTTTTGCATTTCTGTTATGTCTGTTGTAATGCTGCCTGATTCATTGTGAATTTGAAATATTTGGTTCTTTTTTCTCTTCTTCTTAATTAGTCTAGCTAATGGTGTGTCAATCTTGTTCATCTTTTCAAAGAACCAGCTTTTGCTTTCATTTATTTTCTGTATGGTTTGCTTATTTTCTGTTTCATTTATTTCTGCTTGAATATTTATTATTTCTTTTCCCCTGGATTTTTTTTCTGTTGTTTTTCCAATTCCCTGAGGCATAGTGTTAGGTTTTATTTTCCAATTCCCTGAGGCATGGTGTTAGGTTTTATTTTTACCACCTTTCCATCTTTTTCTTGTGTGCACTAATTACTATGAACTCTTATGATTGCTTTTGCAGTGTCCCATAAATTATGAAAACTTGTGTATTCTATCATTTGTTTCCATAAATCTTTTTATTTCAGTCTTCATCTCTTCAATAATCATGAAGTCATTCAGAAGTAGGTTATTTAGTTTCCATGTATTTCTATATTTTTGAGAATTTTTCCTGAGATTAATATCAAGTTTAATTCCATCATAGTTGGAGAAAAATGCTGGATTTCATTTCTATGCCTTTGAATCTTTAGAGGCTGGTTTTGTGCCCTATCATGTGGTCAGTCTTTGAGAAAGTACTAAGTGGGGATGAGAAAAATGTATATTTTGTGTCATTTCTCTCTTGCCAATCTTAGTATCTTGTCTTTGTCTGTGGTTTTGGACAATCTAGCTATGATGTGCCTTAGAAAGGATCATCTTGGATTGATTCTATTTGGGGTTCTTTGTATTTCTTGGGTGTGGATGTTTGAATGCCTCTCTAGACTTGGAAGACCCCAAGAGGAGACTGGAGGAGAAGGGATTACAGCGTGGCCATCCCTCCTGTGGGGGATGATTTCTTGCTTTCTGTCTCTCTGTTTCTCTTTCTGGTGAGCACACATGCCCTATAGCAAACCACCCCCCCCCAAAAAAAAACCTGAAAACCATGCAGATATGGACCTGCCTGAATAGATCTTGACCTAGGTGAGAGAAAGAAAAAGAAAATAACAAGTTAAAAGCATAAGAAAGGGGACAGAAAAGCTGCTTTTTTTTTCTTTTTCTTAAAAAAAGAGGAAAAAAGTTGGAGGGACAGAAAAGAGCAAGAAGGAAATGCAGTTCTTTTCCTACCTGACTAGCACTGGGTTCTGGGTGGGGTGGGTATTGGCCTATCTGGAGGAGCTTCACCACTGTGAAGCTAGAACCAGATGGTACAGGACAGCCTATATTTTTTAATTTCAAGTAAAGCAGTTTTATCAAAGAAATGCTAAGGAACTTTGCCTAAAACTTTAAAACATGAAACAGGTCAGGATTCTATCAAATAGTAGGTACATGGACCAATCGACAGCTCAAAACAGGACAAAAACCCTTAAAACTGGAAAACAAAGCCTAGAAGAAAATCAGCAATATTTTAGTCAAAAAGTCATAAAATGCTATTTCTCCAGTTCAGTCTCATGTACTTAATCTATCTTGTGTTGTGGTTCCATCTTCCCGATTAAATTCTGGGATATAATATTCAACTCTAGACTTGTCCCTACGATTAAGTTGACCATTTTCTTAGTTTTGAACTCTTATTTCTGTGTGACTATGTTTGATTTTTCTGGTATAGCACTACCTTGAGAATTTCTTGGAGATCTGGTCTGGTGTTGGTAAATTCTTTCAAGCTTTGTGTATTTCAGAATGGAATGTTCTTGTCTTTTCTTCCCATATGAAGGATAATCTTGCCAGGTACAGTATTCTTGGTTGAAATTGCCTTTCCCTTAACACTTTGAATATATTTTCCCATTTTTTTCCTTGTTCATGTTGTTTCCAATGAGAGGTCTGCTGTTAGCCTGATGGGATATCCTTTGTAGGTAACTTGATGTTTTTCTCTTGCCAATCTTACTATCTTGTCTTTCTCTGTGGTTTTAGTCAATCTGGCTATAATGTGTCTTGGAGAAGATCTGCTTGGGTTTATTCTATCTGGTGTCCTTTGTATTTCTTGGGTCTGGATCTTTGAATGCCTCTCTAGGTTTGAAAAGTTTTCCTCCAGAATTTTATGCAATAGATTATCAATGCCCTTATGAGTCTCTTCCCCTTCTGAGATACCAATTATCTGGACATTTGATGGTTTCTAGTATTTCTCACATATTATTCTCATTTTGGGGGGAAATTTTCTCAGTCTTCAAGGTGGATTTTTCTAGGCCAATGATTCTATCTTCTGCAACTGAGATTTGATTTTCTGTATGATTTAATCTGTTTTTATACTTTCAAGGGAGATTTTGACTTCCTATATTATAGCCTTCATCTCTAACAGTTCCATTTGTTTTTTTATACCTCTCTCATGAAATAAGTAAACTTTAAAAAAATGTTAATTGATGATAGTATGAAAGATACTTTTTTCTTTTCTTTAAGATAGAGTCTTACTTTGTCAAGATCCTCCTGTCTCAACCTCCCATTTGGGACTACAGGCGCACACTGTCATGCCCAGCTTCTTTTTAGATTGAATCTTGCTCTATTCCCCAGGCTAACCTCAAACTATGATCCTCTTGGGTCAGCCTCCCTAAGTCACTGGGATTACAGGAGTGTGCCACAATGCCTAGCCATTTAGGTTGGGCAGAAAATCAAACCAGGCCTCTTATGTAGTCTTACAAAGTACAACATCTTAGTAGTGCCATGGCTGGGTCAAGATATTTTTCTAATTCTGAAAGTGTCCAAATTAAATGAATTAAATTAAATTAATTAAACTTGAACTGCAAATCTAGCAATGGTTTGTTCTGTTATTTTCTTTTTTTTTTTTAAGGGAGGGAGATTTTTACTATAGGGTGTGTGTACTCACTAGAGATAGAGAAAGAGGCAGATAGAGAGAATGAGAAATCAAACCCCCCAGTGGGGTATAGCCATGCTGCAGTTCCTTCTCCTCCATTCTCCTCTTAGGATTTTGGGCAGGCACACACACACACCCTCACACACACGTGCACCCGGTTTCAAGCTGCTGGACCTGGGACTCAAAGAATGGTTGGCCATGTAGGAGTCTAGCACCTTCACCACTATACCATCAGATGGTCCCTAACAATGGTTTTAAAAATAAGTTTTGTGGGAGCAAAAGTTAGTGTAATGGCTATGTCGCTGGACTCCCACATGGTCGACCGTGGTTCAAGTCCTAGACCCGGTGGCTTAAACTCACGTTGGGTGCTAGTGCATGTGTGCCCAAGATCCCGAGAGGAGAATGGAGGAGAGGGGATTGTGGC